GATACAAGGAAATATGCCAGGCAATATATTGGTCCTATTATTTAAATTCACAACAAGAAGACAGTGGTTTAATTAAATTTGAAGAGGCAGCAGAATCTGGCCAAACATGTTCTGTTCTGTGTTGACAAAATAAGTTGGCTAAACTAACTCATATGTTATGTTGTTATCACATAACTATGACATCATGGAAGATGCGTAACTGAGATGAGAAATAGAATAGGACAGGCAAAAACTGCCTCTTATAAAATAAAGAACATCTTATGCAATATATTTTTGTCACTGAGAGTTAGAAAAAAAATTCTTGTTTGCTAGACGCATCGTTTTAACATATGGCTGTGAATCCTGGACAATTGATAGGCAGGTCAAACAATTTTTTGAGGCCTCAGAGATGTGGTTTTACAGAAGAATGCTTAGAATACCTTGGACAGCCAAAAAGAGCAACCAAGAGGTTTTTGAAAGAGGCGGGAGCCCGAAGACAACTTATCACAGACATCAGAAGAAGACAGTTATCATTTTTTGGCCATGTTATGTGAAGAGGAAAAACAGAAGATATTGCGACCACTGGAAAGATCTGTGGAAGGAGGAATAGAGGAAGACAACGAGAGAAGATTCTTGACAGTCTTGTTGCATGGCATGGAGGTGTGTTGGCAAACGAACTGATACATGCTGCAGGAGATCGCAGATTGTGGAGAGGCATGATCGCCCACGCCAGTCAACAAGGCACCTGATAATGATGATGACATCATGATGTTCAACGCTGGAATTATGTGCTGTGGGGCATGAAAAGGTTGCAAAAAAAGCACATGATTGATACTGGAAAAATAAATTCTACATTTGCTTCCAGTTTGTTGAGAAGAAAGATACTTACAGCTTGCTGCGCCGGAACGCTATATAGAGGAAAATTCAGCGGCTGCGGAGGTCCCCTAAGGCCACCTCCACCGCCACCACCACCACCACGACCCTGCTTCTTGTCATCCGCATCCAGATCTATGAGAAGATTCTCGGCCATGAGGATCTCATCGTTCTGCATGACTGAGGGGTCTGGCTCAAAGGGAACATTGTAAGTCTTGGCGATCTCCACCATGTAGCGCTCCACAAGGGGCTTTGGCGGGGCCTGAACTGACAATTTGTGCATGACCTGGGAGATAGAATATGTCAATAAATACAAGGGAGAGGGCAAGAATACTGTTGCAACACAATGCCTGTAGATTGAGTACTTTGGTACCAAATTTTAAGAAATAATCTGTATACCAAGCTCATTACCAATAGGTGTAAGCCTAATTCTCTAGTTCTGGCATATCTTGTTAATTAAGCAACTTTTTATGGAGTTCTGATGTTGACATCATTATCATGTTCTGCCATTATAAATCACCCAGGGCTCAGAGTCTAGTCCTCCATTCTGTTCTATAATGTGCAATCCTCTCGCTACTGTGGATGGAATATACTCCAGCACCTAAGCCTTTCTCAAAAAGTGTTCATCTCAGTGTTTATCTTGAATATCCTCTGTTCCTCATCCATCTATTTCTCACTTCAGTGCCTGTTTGGTAATTCTCTGCATGCTTCTTTTCAAGACTGCCACTATAATGCCATCACTCTTTCTTAAACTGTTGATGCAAGCAGTTTTCAAGACTTTTTCTTATTTCTTTTCCTTTCTTGAATTCTTTTTGTTTTATGTTCACCAATTTCTTTAGGCATTTGTTTTCCAATGTGGTTAACATTGATTCCATGTCTTTAGTGGGTGTTTTAACGTTGACTTCATATTTTTAGTGGTTCTTCAACTTTCACTGTCATATGTTGAAACGGAAAAAAAAAAAAAAAAAACTAGAACTAAAATTATATCACTTAAATTTAAAACTATTTAATTTAGAGTTCTACATTTTGTTTAGACTTTTAAAAGCTGCCTTTGTCTTACCAAATGCACACTTTCAATCTTTGTGATTCTTTGGTAATAAAAACGCCACCTAAATATGTAAACTGTTCCAACAGACCTTCTTATTAACAACCAACTAGATGTGCAGCTCTGACATTACTTCACATGAACATCGCAAATTAGTTCCGCAGTTCGACTTATCTTCTCACTAACATGCTCTAGAAATATCTTCTCACTGACTAGATCTGTATTTCTAATATGCCTTCTCACTAACTAGTTCTGAAGTCTTTGAAGACCTTCTCACTAACTAGTTCTGTAGTTGTGGCATACTTTCTCACTAACTAGTTCTGTAGTTGTGGCATACTTTCTAACTAAATAGTTCTGTAGTTGTGGCATACTTTCTCACTAACTAGTTCTTTAGTACTGACATACCTTCTCATTAACTAGTTCTGTAGTTGTGGCTTACTTTCTCACTAACTAGTTCTGTAGTTGTGGCATACTTTCTCACTAACTAGTTCTGAAGTTGTGGCATACTTTCTCACTAACTAGTTCTTTAGTACTGACATACCTTCTCATTAACTAGTTCTGTAGTTGTGGCTTACTTTCTCACTAACTAGTTCTGTAGTTGTGGCATACTTTCTCACTAACTAGTTCTGTAGTTGTGGCATACCTTCTCACTAACTTGTTCTGTAGTTGTGGCATACTTTCTCACTAACTAGTTCTTTAGTACTGACATACCTTCTCATTAACTAGTTCTGATACACCTTCTCACTAACTAGTTCTGATAAACCTTCTCACTAGCTAGTTCTGTAGTTCGGACATATCTTCTCACTAACTAGTTCTCTAGGTGTGAAATAGCTTCTCCCAAATTAATTAAGTGGTTCTGACACACTTTCCCACTAACTACTTCTGTAATTCTTACATACTTTCTGACTAAGTAGTTCTGACATACATTCTCACTAACATCAAGTTTCATAGTTTTGACATACTTTTTCACTAAACAGTTCAATAATTTTGATATACCTTCTCATTAAACAATAAAACAGTTCTATATTTCTGACATATCTTCTCACTAAATAGTTCTATAGTTCTGACATATCTTCTCAGTAAACAGTTCTTTGTGGTCTGACATACCTTCTCATTAACATTACTAAGGTTATTTCCACGACAGGCCAGTGCAAACTCCTTGCTGTACTTGAGAGTAAACTCCTCAGTGACTGCCTTCAGCTCCTGGACATCAGCCTGTAGCCTTGGAGTTGCCCAGATGATGGTTGCAATTGCTTCCTCAAGTCCTGGATCCAGCTCTCTACAAAAATATGAGCATATTATTGCAACTCAGTAAACATCTTTATCTCCTGTGTTGACCCTTAAACCCTTAACTCTTTCGGTCCCAAAGAAAACATCATAACATCAAATTATTTCTAAAATAACTCTACTCTTGTGCCAAAAGAGTTTAAATAGTGCTAGGCATGAAGTGTTGTTGTGCGCCGCTATTGCAGTCTACTGGTCTCCATGAGGTCATTATTACGATGAAATGCTGTGTTTATAATCCAGCAACACTCTTCACAATAACTTGCCACATGTGCTATGACTGTGTTGCTCTATCCACTATAACACAATCCTTATATACTAACTGGCACCATTGTTAAGACACCTAAACACTGCCAAGAAACAGATTATAAACATCACATTTATATTAACACTGTGCTACCAATGCCAAGCTTGAAAATAATTATCAAAGGCTAAACTGCATACAATTTTTATATATAAGATAAGATGCTTGAGGAAAACCACCTACTTAACCATATGAGATAAAGCAAGAAACGATACTGTCAGAAAAGCTGTTGCAGTGACACTGTGCACCAAATTCATATGGAAGCAGAAGATCAAACTGTTCAGTTATTTTGTTAGAATGCAGTCACAACTACCAACAACAGGCACTAAACCTAAGAAGATGTGGCAAAAAAAATCAAGAGAGTGCCTAAGGAGAAATGGATTGGATGACATTAAAGACACTCTACATCAACACGGAATGACAATCACCAGGGGCTATTCAAGCAATGGATCACAACTCCCTTCTTCCAATAATGCATAATCCTGTCGCCAAATTGTTAATTTAAATCAGTCGATCTTATAAAGCCTCAAAGTAAACTCTCTGAAACCCAAAACAATTGATATTTTTAAGTAGAACATCTCAGGGCAGAAGTAGTACCAGCAACTATAACAATTGGGAGTCGCTGTGGTGAAGCGGCTGGATGCTTGCCGCGGATCAGAAGGTCGTGAGTTCACTTCCTGGCGGAGCCTGACTATTTTCAAAAATGACCTTGGTTCCCAGGTCAACCCAGCTTGGAGTGGGTAACTGTGCAGTCCGGGGAAGTAGAGGCGGTCGGCGTGATGCTGACCACATCACCCATCTTGTGCCGACTGGTCTATAAAATATAGGTCTAGCCCTATATGCCCAAAGGCGTTGAAAAGTGTCCTTTACTTTGACTTTACTTACTTATAACAACTGCGTGGTTATAGAAAGCGTTAAAAACTGACGGGACTTACTTCTGTGTTTGTATCAACCCGAACCTGGCCAGCAGCAGGTCACAGTACATCTCCAACAGCTCCATTGCCTCCACCAGGTAGTCCTCACGGATAATATGCTCTACTCGGATCCTAGCCCGATCTTCCTTCCCTGCAGAGATATAATCTGCGATTTCTTTCCTAGACTTCAAAGCCATCTCTGTCTTCTTCTTCTCCAATAGCTTCAAACGGTTGATAATCAACCTCAAGTTTGTTTTCAGCTTTGTATAGTTGGGCCCGCTTTTGAACATGGCTAAGAGTGTTGAAACTCAGTATGTATTAACGGTCTCCTTTAGAAATGAACCAAAAGCTAATTTTCAAACCTCAGTTGTCTGCTATGAAATATCAGTAATACATGTACTTCTTACTGATTCTCAACTAATTTTTTAGTTCCTTGTAATTACAGTAAACTGTCAAATGACGAATGAATCTAAATTAATTAAACATATAGTTCGTATTTCACAGCTCCTTTTGTTTTGACGTGAAATTTTTTTTTAAACTTTTTTTTATATAATTTCGTACAAATCAAGAACTTCTTGAAGAAGGCTGGGCCTCAAGACTGGCTGATCGGTTCAAAAAAATTTATGACAGCTTCTAAAGTTAAACTGTTTAGTATATTATAAGTAGTGATTTAAAGGTCAAACAGCCATGGTGTCGAGATCACAAATGAAGAGGTTGCCCATGACAAAAAAAAAATATTGCAGAAAAGAAATGATTCATCAACAACTGATGTTTACACCTGGGTATAAATAGAACACCCACTTCCGGGTACAACTGGAGCTCTGGTTTTGATGACGTCATTTAGATGTTTTCTTATCTCTCTCTCTTTCTCTCTCTCGCTCTCTCTCTCTCTCTCTCTCTCTCTCTCTCTCTCTCTTTCTCTCTGTATGTAGGTATTTATATGCTCAGAGCCTAAACTAAAACATAATGTAACCGAATATATGAAGCCTGTACAAACTGTTCGCTTGTTATAAGCCTGAAAAAAAAAAACTGAAATAATGTTCTAGCCAGCCCCAGAGACAAGTCTACCCGAACCAAACATCACAGTCAAGATAAAGCACTAAAGACAGTAGACAGATTTACATATCTTGGCAGCTTACTCGCTTAGAAAGTTAACATCGATCTAGATCAATACAAGAATATCTAAAGCCATCGGCGCATTTGGTAGACTTCTTACAAAAGTCTGGATTAGAGCTTCCATCAGTCTGCAGACGAAGCTCAGGGTGTACAAAGCTGTCGTACTTCCTGTACTTCTCAATGCATGTGAAACATGGACCGTTTACCAGCGCCATGCTAAGAAGCTAAACACTTTTACAGTGTGCCTCAGAAAGTTGCTGAACATAAAATGGCAAGGCAGGATCCCTGACATTGAAGACCTTGACAAGCTGGACTGTCCAGTATTTACTCGATTCTAAAACAGTCACAGCTTCGCTGGGCAGGTCATATATATAGTCCGCATGACTGACCACCGACTGCCAAAAAAATTGTCTATGGTAAACTACTAAAAGGAAAACGCTTTCAAGGTGGACAGACAAAAAAAAAAAAAACGTTTCAAGGACAGCCTTACTGAATGACTTCTGTATTGATCCTAAAACCTGGGAAGTCGTTGCATGTGACAGCTCATCCTGGCGCTCCTCTCTTCATCGATGAGCTGTAGCCCACGAAGCTGCTAGAACTGCAGCAGCAATTCAGAAAAGACAAGCCAGGAAAGACACTGAAGCAAATCACAAGAGAGATGTGGCTTCTATTTCTTGTCCACATTGCAAAAAACGTTCAGTGCTAGAAGTGGCCTTATCAGCCATCTGCTCACTCACTAAACCCAGACACCACTGGATGACAGGACTGGTCATCATCCCCTAGCATATACGTGAAGAAGAGCAGACAGCAGAAATCATTATTGTAGTACGGACTACCCTGCGAATAGTGTTGACTATATGATCTGGGAGTAAAGCCGGTAAATCACGTGTATACCATCTTCGAGGCCAAGAAAGGGGGGGGGGGGGGGGTACCATAACCGACTTCTCACTGAAACAATCAGTAGGTGTACGTTGGAGTGGCTGCTGCAACGGAGGACAGAGCCCGCATGGGAATGCCCAGTGTGCAGTGACATAGATTGTGATACAGTAATTAGTTAGTTAGTTAGTTGGGTTATCATCATTGCACTCCGGACATGTCCATAGGTGCTCAGATCCTCCCCTCAGTATGAACCCCAACGTCCGATGGCTAATAGTACCAGTTCTATGTTGTGCGTCTCGTTTTTTTTTTTTTTTTTTTTTTTTGCTATGCTGATCTTAATTCATAAACAAACATAGACTATACAAAAGCATTTGACTGTGTGAAGCATGAAGAAGTAATCAAACTGTTACAAAAATCAAACATTGATGGGAAAGATCTACGAATAATAAAGAATATGTATTGGCAGCAAACAGCAGCTATAAAAATTAACAACTGTTTAGGTACATTTCAAAGCATAAAGAGGGGCGGACCACAAGGATGTGTACTGTCACCTGATTTGTTTTCAATATACAGTGAATATATAATGAGATCTTTAACTGATATGCCCGGAATTGTGGTTGGTGGGCACAATATAAACAATTTACGTTATGCTGATGACACAGTGTTGATAGCAACAAGTCAGAAAGAACTGCAGGAAATGATAGACATTGTGGTGTTAGAAAGTGGAAGAATGGGCCTCAGTTTGAATAATGGGAAGACAGAAGTAATGGTGGTATCAAAGAAACGAACTATTCCTAAGTGTGTAATAAAAGTTGATGATGTTATTTTAGGACAAGTACAGAAATTTATATATGCATATGGATAACATTAGATGGAAGATGCATAACTGACATAAGAAACAGAATAGGACAGGCAAAAACTGCATTTTATAAAATGAAAAACATCTTGTTCAATATATCCTTGCCATTGAGAGTTAGAAAAAGAATTCTTACTTGCTACATACATCCAGTTTTAACATATGGCTGTGAATCCTGGACAATCGGTAGGCAGGCCAAACAATTTCTAGAGGCCTCAGAGATGTGGTTTTACAGAAGAATGCTTAGCATACCTTGGACAGCCAAAAAGAGCAACCAAGAGGTTTTGAAAGAGGTGGGAGCCCGAAGACAACTTATCACAGACATCAGAAGGAGACAGTCATCATTTTTCGGCCATGTTATGAGAAGAGGGAAAATAGAACATGTTGTGACCACTGGAAAGATCTGTGGAAGGAGAGATAAAGGAAGACAACGAGAGAAGATGCTTGACAGTCTTGTTGCATGGCATGGAGGTGTGTCGGCACACGAACTGATACATGCTGCAGGAGATCGCAGATTATGGAGAGGCATGATCGTCCACGCCTGTCGGCAAGGCACCTGATGATGATGATGATCTTAATTCCCAAGTCTGCCATTCTGGCGAGTGATGTGGATTCACTGCAACCAAAGCCCTCTATCCTTCCCAATTCTCTGAGGGCAATAATAATATCAGCATGATCCATAGGCTGACCGTCGGTAGTGATATTGTGATACAATAACTTTGCATTAATATTGGTCCTTAACTTTGACCTTTATAAAACACAAAAAGGACCTGTTATCACAGCACAAGACATACCGGGCATATAGTTCGTGTCCCATATTTGGTATTATTAGTCGGCATGGGGTCAGTGATGTGATTAAAATCCCACTATAAGCTAATTGTACATCCTTTACAGAACCAACCCCAGCAATTTTTTTGCTATTTGTGATTTTTACTATGCAATGTTCAATAGCTTTCCATGGCGTCATGTGGTCGGTTGTCGAGACCACTGTCGAAACAATGCAAGGCGGTCTGCTGCCAAATCGCCCTCAGTTGGGATTGAACCCGGCACCTGCGAATTACGGAAACACCAAGCGCGTTTGCAATGAGTAAGTCACAAAAAACGACAATAAGACGTTAGCTGCTTTTAGATCCTAAAACATTTCCTGGTGGCATTTTTTGAGTTGACACATTTATGATATATTTGAAAATCTCCAGTGTAGAGAACGTTAAGATGAGCCGAGCAGAGTTGAGGACTGATTTCACAGCACTAGGGACATTCCCACAAACCCACCGTCCCTATCTTCAGCAGAGTTTAAAGTGTCGGCCAATTTCCCTGGTCACTCCTCTTTGCCTGTTTTCTTCAGACCGTTATGATCTAATTGTACTTCAGCACTGTTCCCTCGCTCCCCTTGACATCTAGGTTGCCTTGTATCAATTAACCACTGAGTGGTGCAGAACCAACCATTCTGTCTGCCTGATCGTTTACCAACACATATGGAGATCCCAGAGAAAATATCCAAATAACATTTATGTTTGTACTAAAACGCTATTGAAATTCATATTCTTCATAGCTCAGTGTTAACTGTCGACATGTGTAGTTTAGGAAGTTAAACGCCAGGGTGCCAGGTTCGATCCCAGCTGCAGACAATTTGTCCTCTGTTAGTTTCCACAGTGGTACAGAGAATTAACCGTTCAGACCCAATGGCAAATTACAGAACGTAAAATTTGCCTGGAAAACCCGCAACAACTAAAAAATGCTAGGGTTGGTTCTGCGTTAGATGTGTAAAGGCTACAGAATTAACTCAATGTGATATTTCATGTTGAAGGCATTCTTCATGTTTTTTTTTTTTTTTTCAGCCAACCGAGTTCTTGAGGTTCATTCCTGCAGATATCAGTCACCTTTGGGATTGGCCTTCTTTTACTAGTAGGTGACCCCAAATGTTTGTTGGTCTGGCTGTGTATTATCTCTCCATGGGGATTCACCGTGGTGTAGCAGTTAAACGTTCACGTGGACCCAAATGTCATGGGTTCAAAGTCGCAACAAGCGGAAAATGAAGTCGACCCAGCCTAAATGATTATCATGTAAATTCTCTCTATGGATTCCTGAGTCCCTGTGATCTGCATACAAGCACGATGTCGACTTCTAAGGTGAGACTCACGTTCGACGGCTTGGTGGTCCATTTGCTGCGTGTAAGATCGGCCAGAGGCTTGTGGTTAGCAGGCCAAAGACTCCATTTGAGACACGCACAGAAATGTGTGACAATAATAGGCTCCCTTTGATATGGACAAAGGCAGTTGTATCAGTGAAGTGTACAAACTCACGACTTAGAGGTACAAGTCTACACGACTGGCACATAACATAATACATTCTACAAGCCAAGTTTGGGTGGGAGGGGGAATAGTAATAGATGATTTAAGCTGTAAACTGTGGTCGAGTACCAGCAGTTTTGCTGAGTTAACCAATAGATCAAAATAATCCTGCTTCCTGCAGAAACAACAGTAATGCCACAGCACTAGACTGACATTTTTCCACGGAATCTATTTATTGTCTTCTTCACTTTTACCGGGTTGCAGCCCAGTGTCGTGGTTTAAAATATTTGTTTTGTGCCTCTCGCGTGATTTGAGTGACAGTTTTCTGGATCTTCTGGCCGTATTCAGCTACTCCATCTATCCATTTTTTCCTGGTTCTTCCTCTGTCCTTTCTTCCCGATGTTCTACTGTAAAAGGCCTTATAGGCAATCTGATCCGGTTGCATTCTTACTAAATGGCCAAACCACTTCATTCTCTGTTTTTCAATATGTTCCATGCATGCTCTTGTTCCAACTTTGTCTCTAATGCTGACGTTTGTGACTCTGTCTCTTCGTGTATTGTTGGTGACTCTTCGGAGACATCACATTTCACACGTAGTTATTTTTTGCATATGTGATTTGTTCATTGTCCACGTTTGGCAGTGATAAATTGTAGTGATGAAAATGCTGTTGATCATCCGTTGTTTGGCTGGTAACGAGATCTTTGGATGACGAAGAAGTGGGGCCAGTTGGTAGTTGACTGCATTGGCTTTTTGAACTCTAGCTTGTATCTCTTTATCGAGTCTTCCATCTTCTGTAAATAGGCATCCTAAGTACTTGAATTCTTGAACTTGTTCTAATTGTATGTCATTGATCTTTATGTTTACATTACTGTGTTTCTTTCCTATGGTCATTACTTCAGTTTTTGAGGTGTTTATTTTCATGTCAAATTTTGTACAGTTAGTGAGCATTGAATCAACATGTTGTTGTAGTTTTTGTTCTTCTTCTTGTAACAAACTTCCATGGAATACCAAAGTAAATCTTTCTCTAGGATCCAACAAGGCCCGACCACACGTCCACCTTCTTGAACTTTTTGACTGTGAATCCCCTTATTCAAATCTCCTAAAACAATACTAATGCTTATGACGTTCTATATGTTCAGTCAATATTGGTGTGTTTAAGTGCACATCTGCACCCAACAGTCCCATTGTTGGGTAAAAAAAACAACAACATAAAAACAGACCCTATGGACCCTAAAAAAATCATGTCATACATAATTAGGGATTTATTAGAGATGTCTCCTTCTGTAAAACGGATGTGCCTACAAAACTCAAGTTCAAGAACCAGATAAACAACTAGAACTTTCCACCAGACTTTACAGCCAGGAAATGCGAAGAAGAATAGAATTCATAGGAAGTTAAAGTAGCCAGTGTGATGCTGACCAAATTGTCCATCGAGCACTGTCTGATCTGTAAAATATAGGTCTGGAACTATATACCCAGCATACCTAATGGTGGGAAAGGGGTCCTTAACTTTATCATCTTCTTGGTGTGCCAAGTGGTATACAGCCAGTCTTCTCTTTTGTATATGCAGTTTTTGTCCGTCTATTATTTGTCATTCTCTCTATATGCCCCAACCATTGCACTGTATTAGCTTTCATGTCAGCAAAAAAAAATGGCTCCAGTTTTTGTCATTCAAAGAAATTATCTTTTTTGAAAGATGACTCACAAAATATTCAGAGACGAAAGGAAAATACAAAACAGTATTCCATGCAGTAAATTGGATATATTTTAATACTTTATAAACAATGCTCACATTCAAAATTTACCATGAAGACTTTAAACAAAAAAATGAGGATGGGAAAGGAAACAAAGCCCTTTGCCTCAAAGTGGTTTCACATGCCCTTACAACTTCCTGAAAAATGCTGTACTAGCATCAGCTATGGAGATTACTTGTTGATGTCTACATGGTAAAGTTTGAATGAACAAACTAACTTTATTTTCAAAGGGTCACAAAATGGGCATGCAGGCATGCCTAACATACAGCCCTTTCAACCACTCACTTTTCACACAGCAACTGCATTTTATTTATAAAATATGTCAAGGAAAGGAAGAACAATGATTGAAAAGGAAATGAAATTAAATGTATGTGATGAATCCTAAATGTAACTAGAAGAAACAGAATCAGAAATAATATCAGGAAAGAATCTGGTACTAAACTCAATTGAGAGACAACAGATACAACTGTTTGGACATGCATCAGAAGTAACACCAGACAGTGCACAACAGATAGCCCTGTCACTTAGACTTAACATAAGCAGAGCAAGAGGTAGACAATACAAGCGAGATATAGATGTTATATTCGAGGCCTTAAATACCAGCATCTACATAGCACATACCCAGGCTCACACCCCATACCTCTTCAAAATCTGAGGCTGAAAGGCAGAACAGGACGAAGAGGAGAAGTATACAAAGTACATATAGCAAGATACATAGTGTGAAGATTCGGTTTGGGAATACAAGGTCTGTCACATACTAGCCAATCACTTACTGCTCTGTAAGCTGCAATAGGAGTATCATCACCATTAACAAGTTTCGTGGTGACTGGCAATTGTGATAATTTATTTCCAAATTTGTTTATCAGCATGTACCAATTTGTAAGCTTAACTGGCGTAAGTGATCATATCTCTCTCTACATCTTAAGCTCTTCAACTCCATGTATAATTTGTGTGCTGTCAACTCACTGCTCTGTGACAAAATGTAGTCATAGATTTACTAGTGGTCTGGAGGATATATACATGTATACTTGATTTAACTGCCGGGCATAGTGACAGAAAACTGTATTCTCTTGGCACCCAATTCTCTTTGTCTCCACCGCTGCCAAGTGCTTAGTCAATTCCCCTAACTGCACCTAAGGCGTTTACCACCCCATGAGACATTCCATCACCCCTCAGATCTGACCAATGAAGCTACTGTCCTTTCAACTGCCTCAGAACTCTTGCTATGGCAAGACCTGGTCTAAAAAAGCCCAGAGAAATGTATACCATTAAATGCTTCACCCTGTTTGTATCTATTGTTTACTCCATACATCTTTATATATTTCTTGGAAAAAATAAAAAAAAATAAAAATGCATATTTAGCCTGTGTTAAAAAAAAAATTTTTTAAAGGATGTTTTTCTAGAAATCTAGTGGGGTTAAGAGGCAGAAATGTGGCTCAATGACCACTCTTAAATTCTCATCAATATCCTCCCAGACACTGCTTCCTTCTACTGTTAAAGGTGGAAAACAACACCAAGGGATTTATGTGGTCAACCAGCTCCTTTAAGTAAAGAGGGAAGTAAGCAAAACAGAAAAATTATCATCATCAGAAGAAGGCCTTCAATGAATGTTCACCTCTTGACCACCCTCGGTGTCAAGTGAATAATGTATAGGAAAGCAAAAAGGGCAGACAAAATGAGAACCAGATTTACCCTGCAATTCTTTTTCTTCTTTTTCTCTCTCTCTCCTATTATCTCATAAAGTAATTGAGGGGTGGGGAGGGCAGAGATAATTTTATAATGATCTTTTGTGTGTTCTTGTTAATGCTGTGTATAAGTTGATCTTTTGATTTCTTTACAGCTGTTCTTGGTGCAGTCATTCCATATTTCGTATGGTCTTCCCCTTACTCTATGTTCATTATATGTTTGTTTAGTATGGTTGTATGTTGCACCTGGTAGAGAAAACTACATCCTGAAAAATAAGGGCCTTATTTAACATCCATGATGACCACTACTGGCAGGCAAATTGGCTCTATTTTGTTATGCTCTGGTGGGCAGCCAAAAATGATGCTCTGTGAGAAATTAAAAACATGTACTCACAAACACCATACTGTGTTTTGTCACTAAAGCCGGCTGATATCTGATTCACAACTAAAATCACATAGACATTTTGGTTGATTTCTTGGATTTTGGCTTCAGCATAAAACACACAGAAACTTTGCTAAATGCAGAAACTGTGCTATCTGCTATTCTCTGCTGGATGCTTGGGTTCAGATCTGGTTCTTCAGGACTGTGGTCACTGATTCCTTGAGTTTCTGTTGCTTCTATTTCTTGAACCTGGAATGAAGATATAAAATTACAAGAAAGTATTACAAGTTTACATTTCTGGGTGGTTTGGTTTGCAAAAGTAAAAAAAAAAGTAAAAAACCCTATTTTATGCCAACGGTGCATCAGGTATATGCTACTAGACTCATTTTGTTTATTGGCCTGGAAAGGAAAGAAAGGAGGTAAATGGGGAAGGGGAGGGGGGTCAACATCACATTGGCTGTCTTTACTTCCCAAAGAAATTTACTGGTACTCATTTTAGACTTGGTTAACCTGGGCGTCAAAGACCATTTTTATTTTAAAAAAATATCAGGGTGTCAAGGATAGTTTTTTAAGAACAAAAAAATCTACCTCAACAAGGATTTTAAAGCCAGATCTTTAGGCTAGAGGCAAGCATCCAGTCACTATGTTACCATATTTGTGGTTTAGTTTGGCCGGGTGATTTCAAATGCAGTGAAGAGTTATCTGGGATCAACTAAGATTTCTAACAGGCCACAATGACAATGATGTTCTGTAGAGGACCCACTATTTGATAATGTGGATGACTGTTATGATTTCTCAAGTACTGCTATAACTGCTCTGAGTACAGCAGATTAGTATGACAGTATTAAGTGAAGTAGCTGAAATGGATGGGTGGTAGGTTGGTTTGTAAGGAGGCTGGTTTGTATGGAGGCTAGCTGGTGGGGAAGTTGGTTGTTTAGTAGTGAGGTTGGTTGGTAAGGAGGCTGGTTTGTGGGGAGGCTAGCTAGTTGATTATGAGAGAAACTTATTGCCAGTTTCATATGAGAGCTAGATAAACTTGATAGTCTATTGGGAAGTTATACATAAAAGAAGCAAGAGCAGATTAATCATGCAAAAAGAAAAGGCAAGACAGATAGAAAAAGATAAAAATAAAAAATAAATGAAAAAACAACAACAATTATGTACAAACCTGATGAGCAGGCCCAACAGCCAGGTGAAGGATGTTTGCCATTTCCAGAGCTTTTTGTCTGGCATTGTGGATTGCTAACATCCCAATCTGCCTTCTGAAGATATTCAAAATAAAAAAAATATTTTAAAATGGCAGCCAAATATAAATTGCAGGTACAACTAACGTTTTCGGAACCAGAAACAGAGTGACTTCCCTTCCCATTCATGAATTGCCATGTTGCGTGGCGTGACCTATTTTGCGGGGTGTCACACTTAGTGACCGCCTACCAACACGAAGCAGAAACATGAGTGCAGCCTACATTCCATGACCACATGCAGCCTAGGTCGCACAACTGTAGACAGCATATATTTTAGGCTGCATGCAGTCACGGGATGTAAGCTGCAGCTTCTATAGTGGGGTGTGGGGGGGGGGGGAGGGGTTGGGCCAGTTCTGCATGTTCTGCGATCGTTAAAAGTCCTCACATCCTGGAATATACAGCACACTATATTGCCGGCCGGTGAGAAAAACTAGTAAAATGCTAGGTGTTGGTTGGCGGTCAGTAAGAATGAAACCCCCGCAAAATAGGACAAGCCCCGTGACATGGCAATTCATGAATGGGAAGGGAAGTCACTCTGTTTCTTGGCCCGCAAACGTGAGTTAAACCAAACTGCAAACTAATCAGGATAAAAATAATCAAACTAAGTCAACAGAGTCTAGAACATAGCCAATAGATTTATCCTTTCCAGCTTAGCTATGCACTCTTGTGCAACGAATGCTATCCAGTAAAGAATATGAATAAATTGTGTTTAAAAGAAACATAGGCCAAATTTAACCATTATAATGAAATAATGATATTGTATAATGTTAAGAAAAACTAGTTAATGGCAACTGGGTTCAATGATATTGCTGATGTAACAATTGGCAATGCCTATTAAAGATTCTTCTCTTCTGACCCTTACCTCCCCACACCCCTTTTCCAGTGGATCATAAGCCATCAGGCAACATACTAAGTTGTCCTATCCTCTGCTATTGTATGCAAACCTTCATTATTTTCATCTTTTTAACTTCACTTTCTAATTAACTTTTCATGATTGTTTTTTGTCTGCTTAATTCTGAAAGGGAAAAGCTCCCTTAAGCATATGAGTTCCAGTCCTATCCAACGCCAACATCTTTTTCTCACCTCTTGATTTACTAGAATTAATTTAGCTCTCTTCCAAAGCTCCACATCAGTGATTCTTTCACACCATTTAATTCTTTCTATTCTGCACAGGCACCAGCTAATGAATGTTTGTAATTTATTGGTAACTTTTTAGTTGTTCTCCGGTATTCCGATCAAAGGGTTAACCTCAGACAAAAACGATAGGATATCTTATTTGCTACACTGAGTTCATCAGTGGAAGATGAGAGAAGAGACATGCCACTGGTGGAATACCTGAGCTTGTCTAGGCTTCCTCTGGCATGATAACAACCTGGCAGTGAAACAGTCACACCAGGTCCCAGCTTTTCTGCTAGTAAATTAGAAACACTCTGACACTTGTTCAGATCTGTAAAATGGGCTTCAATCTCACAGCTCACGTTCACCATGGACTCTGAGTGTTGCACGTGCTGGTAAATTCTATAGTCACTTTCCTGCAAACAGAAAACATTGCTGGAAATCATTCTGAAAAAAAAAGGAAAATAAATAGTTATAAACACTGAAATTGCACCTGCTATTGGTACACAGTGCAGACCGTTTTAAGGCAATCTCAGATGTGGCGAATACCTGTTATGAAGAACTTGTGTCTCTCCACATGGCCAACCAAGAAAAAGATTCACAATCAACAGCCTGGCAGTGCACATAAGTCAGAGTGCATTTGCCTTAGAGGCAAGGAACCAACAGATCTGTAAAACAGATGTGCAAGCAATGCTCAAATCCTGAAACATTACAAAATTCTATAAATGAACAACCAGGACTTTCCATTTGAGTTTACAGCTGGTGAGGATGAAAAACAAAATGACCAGAAAAGTGTTGAGCTAAGAACTAACATCATAACACTTGGGACATTATAACTTCCATCCTCATCTTCAGCAGCCAGCAAAGAGTTCCAGTTCTGATGGTGCCAGTAGCAGTCTGATTATATATATATATGTCTTGCTTCTCTTTTGAGTGTAGAGTCTCGACCAGATCCCCTGGTCACTCCTGACTGTACCGTTCTCTCCAGACCATAATGACTGACCACTTGCTCCCAAAGTGCCCTTACAACATCTAGCGTCTGTGTGCGTATGTGTGTGTGTATATCTGTATATGTGTGGGTGTTGCGCATGTCTATGTGTGTGTCTGTTTCCCTGCTTTTGTGTGTGTTTGTGTGTGCCCGTGACTGCATGTGTGTGTGTCTGTATGTGTCTGGGTTGTATGCGTGTGTGTTTCAGAGCGTGTGTATGTATGTATGTATTTTTGTATGTATGTATGTATGTATGTATGTATGTATGTATGTATGTATGTATGTATGTATGTATGTATGTATGTATGTATGTATGTATGTATGTATGTATGTATGTGAGTTTGTAAGTATGTATGTGATTTTGTGTGTATTTTTGTATGTACATAGGTATGTATGTGTGTATGTATGTGTGTGCATGTTCGTGTGTATGTGGATGTATGTGTGTACTGGGTGCCTATGTGTTTGTGTGTGAGTGATTGGGCTTGTGTGTGTATGTGGGTGTGTGTGTTCGCGCGTGAGCGTGAGCACATATTTTACCACCCATGCTTTTGTTTTTGATTTCATTTCCATAATATGCGTATCATTACATGAATATAGCATGCTTTATTGATGAAACACAACTGCTGTGTGAAAGATGGAAGTTTGGAAGGGCCGAATGTAAGACAGGCCTGCGTGCCTAATTTGTAACCCTTTGAAAATAAAGTTCGTTCGTTCGTTCCTTCGTTCGTTAGCTTGTCCTGCAAAAATTCCCCGCTCGCTGTTACAGAACTAGCTAGTATGTGTGGCTATACATTTCCTAACACTTCTGCATACGCTAGAGAAAATATCTAAAGAGAGCTAACAACCATGGTCCACTGAAACAATGCATGGCATTTTGCATGAAGCACACCTGTCTCCATCATCATGTAGCAGGTCCTTTGCAGAACGTCGCTCTCATCACAGTTTGCCTGAAAGAAACTCAGTCTCTTGCCAGTTCTCCCGCCTCATGCACTTTCATACTCAAGGAGCCACTTATATCCTGTGCCCATCTTCGTGTCGGTCGGCCCCTGCCCCTCCTTCCTGGTACCATGCCTTCTGCTATATTTTTTTCCAATCCGTTGTGGCGCTTGATATGACCAAAATATTTCAGCTTCCGAGACAGGATGCTGTTTGTTAGCCAATCTTCCTTGATGTTCAGATCTTTCAAGATGTCAGTATTTCTCCTCTTCTTTGTCCAAGATATTCTGAGAATATTTCTATAGCATTTCAGCTCAAACGCCCCTATTCTCTTTTTTAAGGACTGAGAGATGGTCCACGACTCACATCCGTATGTAGCCACAGGAAAAATGCATGCTCTCAAAATTCTAATTTTGATCTCCTTGCTGGTGCTTAACCATAGACTTTTAAGGCTGTTCAATCTTTGCTATGGCCATCCTCCTTTTAATTTCTGTCAAACAGTCTCCACTGTTGTTTATTATAAAGCTTAGATATTCAAAGTTTGTGACATTTTCAATTTCTTCATCATTTATTGTTATTTTTGGGTGACAGCCAGTTTTATCTGTGGACATTATTTTCATTTTCTTTAAATTCAAGAACAGATTTTGATCTTCACTGTGCCTTTGGACAGACAATATGAAATTTTATATTGCCTTTGCGTTGTTCTAAAGGAGGACAGTGTCATCTGTGTAGCGGAGTTCCGGAATAGGGTTTCCACCAATTTTGAGCAGATCATAACTGTCACAAGTCTGGTCATTTTTGTCCACCTGTCTCCACCTTTCTTAAAATGCTCTGTGAGTCAGTTACAATCATGACAGATGTGTAAAATTAAACAGACGAAGAAGAAGTATCTAGCCAATTGGTGATGTTGACAGTTCTGCTGAAGAGCCTTGAGGTAACTGGGAAAAAAAAGGTAGACACAGTGACATGTACTGATTGGCACTCAAAGATGCAGACAGAATAAGTTGAGATAGGAGAACTCTTTTTTTTTTTTCTTTTCTTTAGACACTGTTTTGCTTTTCAGCATCATGTTTCAAAGAGCCATCCAAGCATTCAAGTTTAAGTTTACTAGGTAGACGTTGGTTACACTGTATTCTATCTATCCCACTTGCTTAGGAGACCTCTAGTTCTGCTACTATTGTGTCTAAGTTACAGGGCTCTCTATGGTGATCTATCTTGCAGTAATCTTGACACATGTCTGAACCATTTGATATGTTGACTCTTGATGTAGTTTAGTTCTAGTTCTGTCCCAGCTTGTTCCCTGATATTGTCACTTCTGATCCTGTTTCTTTTTTCAGACAGGATAACATAAAAATGGAAAGCTATAGTTATCAGGACTGAAACCTACAGACTGTGTTCTTTATAGGAGACAGAATCCAATCCTGGAATGGCAACTATAGCTTTTAATTTGTATGTTGTCGAGTTGTGTCATTTTATCTGTAAACTTCTTTCATCCACATTTATGAGTGCCAGTCAATGCAGGTCAATGTGTTTACCATGCTATCTTGATATAAAATGTCAACTTACATCTCTGACACCCTTTGGTCCTTTTGTTTCTGAACTTTTCTCTCTAATATGGTTTTTGCTAGGTGAATATTTGGTTTTATGTAACCAAAGTAGCTCGTCTTTCTTATTTCTTTAAAGAAATTTATATTTTCATTTTCAACTCTTTCAGTCCCAAGGAACGCATCATACATTCATAGGTTTCTACCTAGAAGCCCAATGGAGGCAAGATGCACTGATTTTACTTCTCGCTTTACTACCCCATGGGCCTCTGATGTTAAATATATAATGAATTAAAGAGCTGTGCATTATCTTCCTTTAATATGGCTTTTTGCAAATGTAAATACCTTCATATTTACTTACATTCCCTTTTTTAAATAGTATAGATGTTCTCTTTCGAGTATTTATTAATAAATTTAATATTATTTCAAATATATTATGATATTCATTTGCCAATCAACAAATAATAATAATATTTAGGGCTTTTTTTCTCTTTCACCCCATCTCAGGGGCTGTGCTGTTGGGTAGGGAATTCCTAAGGAGTTTCCCAAAAAGTCCTATATTATATGGAGGTGAGGATAAGAGTTAGTTTCCTGTTCTTCTTCTTTCGTTCACCTGAAATCTAATGTATTTCAGGCTAACGAAAGAAGAACAGGAAACTAACTCTGTATCTGCAATATTGTCTCTAGTATGAAGTTCATTGTACTGTGTAACTCACTCAGTGACTCGTAAAGTTTGGCTTGAACCAGCGCCCTGAAAAGGGCCAATTTTGGGGGCGGTGGTATGGAATGGAAGGGAATTCCTAAAAAGTTTCCCAGAAAGTCCTATATAACATGGAGGTGAGGATAGGGGTTAGTTTCCTGTTTTTCTTCTTTTGTTCGCCTGAAATACATTATATGTATCTGCAATATTGTATCTAGCATGAAGTTCATTGAATTGTGTAATTCACTCAGTGACTCGTAAAGTTCAACTTGAACCGGCACCCTAAAAAAGGCCATTTTAGCGATGGTGGCATGGGAGGGCCTGTCGCATGACAGCCCACACCCCTCTTGACTTTAACCTGCCCACATCTTGTCACCTCTTTGGCACTTTAAAATCTTGGAATTTCCTCTATAGGCAAATAGTCCTGTTTTTGTACTTATATGTCAAGATGTCAGATTAAGTACTCAGTTCTTTCCTTTTTCTCTTGGGGATGAAATATATTTAAATTCATTCATATAGGTGGCAGATTCATTGATAGTGAAGCCAAATTCCACTGGACCAACTTCCACTTTTGAAGCGGGTGAATCCCCTCCTGCCTTTAACTGGAGAGACACTTAGTTTGAACTCATTCTTGACTGAGCTTCCAGAGAGTGAACAGACAGCTGCTGCCTTTCCTGTCAATTTGCTTATCTCCGTTTGAATCACCTATTCATCTGGGAACATCCATGAGCATGGGTAAGTATAATATAGTTTATGAGTACCATATATGCGGCCCTGCTGTTGAGTGTAGGACAGAGGTAGCTATAAGTGACAAGACCTGGCTGTCCAATTATTCTAACTGCAAGAGGGCGTATAAACAAAGCGTTTCCCAACAACCGGAGGAAAATTCTCTTCTTGGACTTCTTCAATGGGTTCCAGACGGCTTAGACATTATGTATTCATTTTATAATCACTTTATGATTGTTCACATTTAATGGTTTATTACACCCAGTAACTTAGGGAGTATCTGGATTAGTATTAGCTGAGGTCATGCTAGTTCAGTACATGTGTTATGTCACATCCACCCTGCCTTTCCCAAAAATGTAAACATAATGTCGGCAAAAAAGATAGCTGTATTGTTTTTGTGTGGCCTGTGCGTGTTTCATACATCTATATTCCTGTATTCGTGGTATACTTACTGAGTATAAGTATCCTTTTATGGGAAAAGAATGGTGTTTTCCCTCTATAAGCTGGCATAGGCAGACTATCGCTGTTACTGGAGAGCAGCTCTGGACATAGCTTTGTTTCTTTCTAGCCTCACAACTGTCAATGGCAATCCTAGGATTGCTACAGACTTATGCAGTCTATAAAAGCCTAACACAGACCTCTGAGCCATAATTATCAGCAAGTCGGCTCCTTGTGAGATCATGCAATTTTTCACTATTTTGAAGCCCCACCCTGGCTCTTGCCAGGGGTCGCAATATAGCCCAGTCATAAATATTGTCTAATGGGTGAATGCGGTTTTCGGGACCCATCTACGGGTGATCCTCATCCACATGGTGGCACTTTGTGTCACTGGGTGTTTATCGCTTGTGTGACGTCCTGGTGGGGTAAAATGTACGACTACTACTATGACTATGTGGATGCATGTATGGGGGTTGAACATGGTATAGTGTTTAGTAATTGCTAACTCTTGTTTTCCTCTTTGTCACAGGATGTTAGTAATATCTAGAGGCCCAGTCGACGATTGGTATCCTAGCACTATCCAGTGTAACCCGCAGCCAGCTTACAAGGTGAACAACTCACAGCTCTCCATGCACCATCTCAGTAGCTCCCTAATCAACAACAGTCTGTTGTTCTGGAAGGTGCATCATCAGCTTGTATCTCCAACCCAGAAATCTTTTATATGAAGGCTTGCCAACAACTGCCATGACCAGAGGGTGGCATCAAGTAATTCTAAACACTAATAAGTAACACAGACTCATAGACCATGACATAATAATTTTTTTGAACACTTACGTGTGGTAGAGAAGACAGTCAAAGTTATGTTAATCCTAGTGACAGATATAGAGGATTGATGGTGGATTTCACCAGATGTCAAATATTCACTGACAGATATAGGAGGAGACCTCAACTTAACTGAACAACATCCTGCAGTCAACCCTAACATGTTGTGCCAGTTCCCTAGGTCCAAAAGGCCACAGTTTGGCAGTGATGAATATGGCTGTTGATAGGGACAATCCAGGAGTCCATCTGGAGTAGTATATTCTTTGCTCCTTTGGCTGGTTTGTTTGATCTCGTTGAATCCTTTTCTTTATTTTCCTACTTGTGTTGCACTGATTACATGATGTTTTGTTATTTCATATTCAGTGGTTAGTGTCCATCCTTCACTGTTCTTGAGTTGACGGGAGTATCTGTTGTATTGTTATACTTCATGTTATACTGTGTTAATTTGACTAGGATAGGTTTACTGTCTAGTCTAAGAGCTTAAAAGTAGTGGGGAATTCAGTCCAATTTGTGCCTAGGAATGTTTATTGATTAGGGGAAACCCTAACAAAGGCATGTGACACCAGCATTATATGACAGGGCCCTGAAAAAGACCAACAGCCTTCATGTGGTGGGTTAGTGTTGATTATATTCAGTGATGATGACTGAGCAAGGAAATCCATGACGAAGGTGAAGTCGTGAAGTAAGACCACCGCTTCCAAACAGGGCACAGTGGTGGCAACAAACGAATGAAAGTAACACATGCTGGACATTATGATGCTTTAAGCGATGAAACCACTGAAAACAACGAACACATGACAACCTTAGAAAATAGGAGTTTTAGTGTTAGTGTTAAATTCTTCTTTTGCCAAAATCTGCTTGTGCCGCTAGGCGTCGCAGTCTATCAGATGATCGGCAACCGAGCCAGGGCGCGCTCAGTCGCTTCATATGCCGTGATGTTATGAAGTCTTCAAGCTGTCCGTGACTCCTTCAATCCATCTTCTTCTTGGTCTTCCCCTGCCTCTTGGTGTTTCAATTTTCATGTTGTATGCTCTTGATGCTGGCATCGTTGGTTCCATTCTCATTAGGTGACCAAACCATTTCATTCATTGCTTCTCAATAAATTTAACGATGGGTATGGTTCCAATAGTTCTTGTAATCACATCGTTTCTCACTCTATCTCATCTGGTTTTATTCGCAGCCATCCTCAAACATCTCATTTTACAGGTGGTTAGTCTTCTCTCGTGTTCTTTTGTTAATGTCCAAGTCTGACATTGATAACCTAATGTCGGTATAAAGATTGTATTTATAATTTGTCTTTTTATCTCAGCTGGGACAGCAGGGTGTTTTAAAATTGGGGTAAGCTGGTATGCGACATTGTTGGCTTGTTGGATTCTTGCTTCGATCTCTCTGTCTATTTTACCATTGGATGTAAAGATACTTCCCAAGTATTTAAATTCTTGCACTTGTTTTAGGCTGTGATCTAGAATCTTTATGTCGATGGTCTGTTGCTCTCTACTTATGCTCATGACTTCTGTCTTTTCAGTATTGATCTTCATATGATGCTTGAGGCAACTGTCGTGTAGTAGGTTTATGTGGTCTTGCAGCTGTTTACTATCACTGTGAAATATGCATTGATCGTCGGCAAAGAGCAGCTCATTGAAGTCCTCCTGTTTATCGACATCTGTTGGTGTTAGGTCTATTTTATTAATATTGTCCATAAATATTATGAAAAGTAAAGGTGATAATACACAACCTTGCCTTACTCCTGATGTTACTGGGAACCAGTCTGTGATGCCAGCTCTTGTTCTAATGGCGCTTTCACTTTGTCTATAAATAGCCCTAACACAATCTAAAATTGTTCCATTTATACCGTAGTTTTCAAAAATTGATCTATGAAAGCGATGTTCATTTGATGTCTGTGTTCAATTGTCTTTTCAATAACTTGTCTTAAAGCAAAAATAGCGTCAGTACACCCTCTTCCTTTCCTAAATCCGACCTGTGATGGGCTCAGGATCGGTTCTACAACGGATCTAATTCGTTGTTCCAGAATTTTGGCAAACATTTTTCCTACGTGTTAAATTAACATTGACTAACACTAACATCAACCCTAGCTCCTTCTAGTACAGGAACTCCCTTGAAATTCGCTACAAAATCCTGAAGCCTTTGAGATGGGGTGAAAAAGCAGCAAAGGAAAAAGAAATCGGTGTTCATACTCACTGCAAAGTGTTTAAAAAAAAAAATGCTTTACAAAGCCCTGTGTACCTTTGCACACTGCTTGGGAAAAATGGAAAGGGGGGGGGGGAGTCCTGAGACAGCACCTGATAATGATAGCACTATCAAACAAGCCTTGATCTCCTCAAATATTTTGTGCAGGTGAGCTTCCCAAACTTTCTGAGGCCGCTCTTGACCCCGCATTTTCACCCCATTCAAGTCCATGCTTGAATATGCTTACTTTAATACTTACGGTTAAAGAATAATTCTTCAGAGTCTGGACAATATAGTCCAAGCGTCTCCTCACGCTATTTTTGGCATCCTGAACATTTTCTTTGGACGATTTACACGTGATAGTTAGCGAAAACCGATCAGGCTGCAAGGTCAGCTCACCAACTCCTGTCACGACAATGTGTCGATCACCGGCACCTATAGAGACAGCATCATTTTGACGTGAATCCACGCCGACATACTTCTCTTCTGTCGTAAATTCACGAGGAAATGTACCCTGGCTTTTTAAATCTGTAAACACTCTAACTGCTCTGTTGTAAGACATCATATAATTGATGGTTAAAAAAAAAACCTTTTACGAGGGTTTAACTCTGCAAAATAAAAAAGCCTTTCTCAGAAAACACAAATGTTCTACAAAAAATCGGAGGACGCCATTTGTAAACAAAGTTCAGTTACCAGCGGGCTCGTTCAATCTTGCCCCACTTATAGCTAAAACAATTTATTAAATATGCTATAACATTTACAAAACGTTTAGGGGACATTACTACTATATATATATATATATATATATATATATATATATATATATATATATATATATATATATATTGTGTGTGTGTGTACAAATATGTCTATTTTTGCTTTTTGAGTTTACATTATTTTTTTGCGTCTTAAGCGATAGTGCATAGAAAGAAAGTATGCACGTGTGGGGCGTATGGAAACGTGTGTGCGCGCGAACGTATTTGTGTAGTAATAGTAGTAGAGTAATAATAGTAGCAGTAGTTGTTGTTTTTGTACTACTACATCAGTACTATCACTACTGCTGCTGCTAATACTGCTACTTATGAATAGAAACACAAAAAGATTATAGAAGTAAGGCCCGTTCCTGCAACTGCTTATCATGAAAGTCCATGCTCTTCCTACAATTTTCCATAACTTACTTTTAGATATACATCAGTAATAGTAGCAGCAGCAGTAGTAGTATTAGTAACAGCAGTAGTAGTAATAGTAGTATATGTTGTTGTAGCAGCAGCAGTTGTAGTTGATGCTGTAGTAGTAGTAGCAGTAGCAGCAGTATTGATAGTACTAGTAGTAGTAGCAGCAGTAGTGGTTATAGTAATAGTAGTAGTAGTGGCGACAGCAGCAGTAACAACAGCAGCAGTAGTAGTAGCAGCTGCAGGAATAGTAGTAGTACTAGTAGTAGGAGCAGTAGTAGTAGTAATAGTAGCAGTAATAGTAGAAAAAGATGTAGTATTAGTGGTGACAGTAGCAGTAGTTACAGCAGCAGTAGCATTAGCAGCAGCAGTAGTAGTAGTAGTGAGTGTAGGGACTGGACAACGGGCGCTTCAGAATCAGAATGTCAACAAAAGATTGATGACAATCTCCGCTCAGGTGATGTGATTACCTATACAGACGACTCTGTGTTGAGAGGCAGAAGAAGTGTATGGAAATGAGGTGGAGGTGGTTACTGCAGTCTTCAGAACCAGCTGCATGGACATGTCGTGGTTGTAAATGACGCACAGAGCATGTTGAGAAAGGTGCAACAGGTATGCTCCGTGCAGTGACAAGCATCGTTTCGTCGTTTTTCGAATTCGTGGCGTGTATTTTCTATAATCTCTGCGTATCATAGGAACGTGATGTTTGTTGTTGTTGTTGCATGGGCTCCTATTTTCATCTCAATGTTGATATTTTAAAAAAATAATGATTTATAGAGTAGACTACCCTGTTGTATCGAAACACAAGCTTTCTTTGTTATTTCCATAACTCACATAGAAACACAAAAAGATTATAGAAGTAAGGCCCGTTCCTGCAACTGCTTATCATGAAAGTACATGCACTTCCTACAATTTTCCATATTTTACTTTTGGATATATCAGTGTCATTTTCTGTCGTCGTTTAGGCTTAAATTCTTCAGGGTCAATAATTATTTATCGTCCAACATGAGAATTAAACACACAAGTTACGACTTTACAACTCGTGTGCAAACGGATTTTACAGAGCCTGTCGACACTTTCAGCTCAGCAGTCGTCTTCTTATTCAGCATTTACGTAAAACATAAAAATCACTTTTGTGAAAAGTCGATTGATTACATTTCAACTCCACCCCCACATATAAAGTACTAAAGCATCTAGGCTTGCGAGGAAAAAAGCATAAACGAGCGCTAAAACAACTAGGTGAAGCTGCGGAAAGAGCTTCGAGCTGGTTGTGGACACAACGGAACGTCGTGGGAGATGGGCCTCGGTAAACTGTTTGGAGCTTTTATATCCCCTAAAAGCCAAATCTGATTAAAGTCTACAATTGTCTCTCTGCCAATTGCCAAAGTCTAACGTCTATCAGATGAACCAATAGTGAGCTTATCATTTTAGTCGTGAAGGTGGGCGCTTAATTTGCTACAGCAGCGACAATAAATATAACATTAAACCTCATAATACCTGTTGCAAAGCCACCATTTCGTCTTGTCCGAACGCCAGTTAAAT